ATTGGCAGAATAACTAACTGATAACAAACTCTGGGAAATATCATGGAGGGAATATCTTCTGTCGACAGAATCACCCTCTCTGTGTGTAACTAATTCTGAGGYKCTGTCGCCTGTCCTTTCTGCTTCCTTGAGTACTGTTGATGGGTAGTGGCCTGCTCCACTCCCTGTGTTGGGTTTGGGGAAGGTATTTGGGTCCCAACAGATTCCTCTTAAGAGATAAGAGTTAAGAGGAAACGAACAAGCCCTTAAACTGCTGATCCCGGGCCCAGACAAAGGAGGAGGAGGTTATGTCAGGTTGGCAGGCAACACTAAAACTTTTCCAAACTCCTATGAAAATGGATCCTGAAGCACAACAGGATTCTTGTATCCAATCTCATATATTTGGGACAAGCCTTATTTGGGACCCCATATGATGATGATAATGGTGGCTGGTTATATCAATTCTTTAGATGCTACTTCTTTCAAAAAATTAAAGCGTGATTCATGAATCATGATATGAATTCCATAATTTTATTTGGACCAGTAAGTTTCAAAATGAGTATCCAGTAAAATTGAAAAGGTCCATCCACCTGTATAACTTAAGTACAGAAGTACTAAACAAAACACAAATACATTACTATAATTAAACTTTCCACGAAGATACTAACCCAAATGCATGGATAATTCACTTCAGTGCACCTATTCAAGCCTGAGTTGAAACCCAGGGTATCATCTTGCCAGAAAGCACAGTTTCTTATCAATGTGTTGATGTGCTAACAAGTTTATTATCTCTAATAGGCCACCAAATTCAACATAATTGGTATTCTCCTATGGTATATATGACAGGAAATCTAATAAACTGCATTCTGAATTGCCACACTAGATGTCCGGAATAACTTTTCACTTATATCAAGGATTACCATGTGAAAATTGAGCCTAAGTTCAGTTAAACAAATTAGGGTACTGCATAAGATCATATTTGAGATAATAAACGTATCAGTATATGAACACATTGATAAGAAACTATGCTTATTATTGGCAAGATGGTATCCCGGGTTTCAACTCAGGCTTGAACAGAAAAGCCGAAGTATCCATGAATTTGGGTTAGTAAAATCAGATTAGAGTCTTCTAAACTCGTAATGTCCTTTTTCTCGTAGGAGCAATTGTTGATTTCCAGTTGTCAGTAGGCCCAGATTGATATAAATTTTTGGAAGGCACAGCAGTATACTTCAGTAACATGGCCTGAAAGAAAAATCTAAATAACATATGTAAGACCGCGAGCTTCCACTCAAGAAAATCACGAACAGCTATATCTGATTGATTAATCTAAAATATTAGTAAATATGAGTGGACGTCTATACATAAATTTGAAACTGGTTTAACTAATGACAGAGGTAAAATGTTGAAAACTCAAGAATTAAGGAGAAAGAAAAGCAGTAGTCATGATGTCTTCCTAACCAAATGTTGATATATGCGACTTAAGTTCTTGATTGAAAAGGGTCGAAACCACAGTAAATAATGGAGCTGAATCGCCGGTGGAAGCACAACTTAGAAAGACAAGACTCGCACCAAGGCAATTGAACCTCTTAACCAGAAAATAATCCGACAACAGAGGCTATATGGCAGAATGGACCTTTACCTGAGATTTCTCCACTTACTACTGGAGCGTGGAGACTAGTGGAATGAGAAGAAAATTTTCGTGGGGAATTTACCTTGTCTTCAAGATCAGACTCTTCCATGGCCAAGAGGATTTCGTCGCCCTGCGGGTGGGGCCATTATGATGGAAAAAGAACCAACGATGGGATCATGGTTGTCTTCCCCGGATATTGTGTCATGAACGCCGGAAACTGCAACATCCTGCTCCTCCTCAGCTCTCCAACTCCCTACCCTCTCTCTCACTTGCTTGTTGATCGCGACCTGGCTCTGTTTTTGTGGAGGCCGGATCTGCTCCTCACTCGCGTCTCACACGCACATCGTAGCATGCATTTGCAAGTTGCAATATCTCCCGTATTCCCAATGCGAGATCGGATCTGCTCCTCACAACTGGCGCTTCACATGCATATCCCGCTTCACCATGCATTCCTTGCATTGAGAATACGGTAGTTATTACTTATTATTCATTATTCATGGGAGATGTTTCTAATACACAGTAGATGTGGCTGTGAGGCATGGTAGACGTGCACGTGAGGCGCCTCGTGTGAGGAGTAATCCCGTCACATGGAATGAATAATTAGTGCAGCCTAGGCATGAGTCCGGGTCTACTATTAACCATTTGCCAATTAAATCCAATAGTGAGTCTAGATCTCCTGTCTACAAGAATTTGCCCACATTTATCGCAACTATATATGGAGAATATTTCATCCTATGCATAGTGGGAAATGTTCCCAATTCACGGGGATAGTACATTATGGGTAGGTGTGAACAGAATTCTTGTGAATAGGAGATTTGGCATCTCCAATAGTCCCTATAGGAGATCCGGCGTCTCCAATTCTTGTGAGCAGGACTTCCTATCAGCAATTTGCTGATTGGGGTTCGTAGCCCTTATTTCACGTAGTTTGTAGCAAAAGATCCAGAATCTGGGAGGTGCACTGCAATTCGAAAATCAGCATTTTATGAGTTAATTTTGGCTGTTGGGGCCCAACAGCATAGGCTGTTGAGACGATTTCTGAGCTGGGCACCCCATTCTGGACAGTTTACCTATTCACGCCCATGTTTTGATTTTTAGTCAAAACAAATTCACTAATTTATTTATTATTGGACACGTCAGTTAATTTTATAACACGTGTCTTTCAAATGTGCTCTCTTCAATGAAGCGAAATTGTTGTTTGAAGTTGTTTATCCTGTTTAGAATAACTTTTTGTACATAAAATCAGGTGTCATGTCATCACTTTCTATATGTGTGAGTAGGAGATGTGCAAGTGCAACCAATAGACGTTTCAAACGTCCTCATATTCTGTTTTTAATATATTAAAATTTTAAAATAAATAAATAACAGGAGTTAGGTTTCTTCTTCCTATTTTGTTCAAATAAAACCTTTGAATTCCGACTTCCGGATTTTAAGAATTGAATGCCTGAAGTTGAGACACTCTCTGTAAACTCTCAAATGCCCGTCTGAACCCAACTTCATGTATTGAATTGATGATGCAAGTATATAAATATCTGCAACGTTTGAGTCAGTAGACATTATATACATGAGATGGGCTTCAGTCAGAGTAAAGTCCGTTCGAACAGACTTTATAGCCTTATATCGAAAATATTTCCATACTTCTATATTTTATTTTATAGGAAAATATTTTCAATACAAAGTTATGATGGCTGTTCGAATAGACTTAGCTCTGATTGAATCCTGTTCCTAATTACATAGTCAAACTTTCATTCAAGAATCTCGCATAGCTTAGTTGTTTGTTAGGAATGTTCCCTTTGATAATAGACATCTTGTGCTTGAAATAGCCCTGTAAAAAATCGGATTCAGCAAAAGCAAATAAACCTTCTTTAGTAACAATAAGTGATAGAACACATTGAGTCCAGTTTGAAGCGGATATGCTAGCCATGAGTTTATGCCCCTCAATCAACGTCTGACCTAGGACCAAACAATCTGTTGGGTGATCAAAGGACTACCAAACAGCCTGAAGAGCACGAGATTTCCTGTCTCAATCACATAACATGGAGAACATCTCATCCTCCTACATGGTATTATGTAGGGATGTTCTTAATTCATGGGGGTAGTGTGTTGTGGGTAAACATGGGCAGAGTTCTCGTAGGTAGGAGATTCGAAGTTGTATTTATCGACCAAACAAATGTACCATCAACTTCTTTTAAGATCAAGTTTCTTTCTGTTGTGAGGGCCAATGCCGCATTTGATCTTACAGGGTGGTCTTGATTGGCAAACCGGACTACTTGTGGGAAGCCTAAGTTAGGCAACACAATGCCAACCTCGCTGTTGGTCTGGTCTGGATCATTGTTTTAAAAAATGACACAAAAGTGGAACTGTTCTGGCCGTCAGTTTCCAGGTTGACGGTACGAATAAATGGCCCGTTTTAACAATAAAAATTAAAAAAAAACGGCCAAAAACTATTGAACAGGTTGATAGGTTGATAGTTTGGCTGCCCAGGTCAATGGGTCGTTGACCGATTCAATGATTTTTGTCCAGGGACCGGGTTTGGGGTAAAATAGAACCGGTTGCCTGGACGGTTCCCAGGCCAAACAGTCCAACTATCTGGGTCAATGGCAATTCAAAAACCATGATTTGGATAATGAAAACGACAAAGTAAAGGAATCACAAGTACCATTGTAGTAGAAGCCACAGGCCAATCGACAGCCATAGTCTTCTAGACTTCTAAGGCCCTGTTTGGTTCATAGGAATAGGGGTTTGAAATCGGAATCGGAATGGGCTATTCTAATTCCAGCTGTTTGGTTAAGCGGAATCAGAATCCCATTCTCATGTTTTGCTGAAATGACATTCCCCCATTTGAGGGAAAGGTCATCATTCCCTACTCCTCCCATGGAAATGAAATCCCATTTCTATTGATTCCAATTCTTATCCCATTCTTATATAAAACAAACAGACTATGGAAATAGACCATTTCAATTTCGATTCCGATTTTGGCTATAAACCAAACGGGCCCCAAGAAGAATCGGCCTTACCTTGGACCCATTGGAGACAGGCACACAACGGGGAAGGGAGTCGCTGTTTAGCCCAAGAAGTCGTCTCTGCTTCAAGCGTCCAATTCTAGAAAGTCGGAAGTCGGAACTCTTATTTGCGGTTTTTTCTGTTTAGTAATATTCAGCTATGTAAATTCTTGTTTTTTATTTGAACGAAAAAATGCTGACATGGATTGTGTAGGACTCGGCGAGGTCGAAGTCGAATAGTATTGATCGTATTCGTGTCTCTGCAACCGCAAGCGAACCGACTTTAAGAGTCTGGATAATCGTTTTCCTCTCTCTCTCTCTGGAGCGGTGGAGTCTTTCGTGATCGTGTTACTTTCTTTCATGGCCACGTTGTTGCTATGTTGCTCGGTAACAGTAACATTACACTTTTCCTTTTCAGTCCTGCGAGAAACAGACACTTCATAGTTACAGAGCACCTCCCTCCCTGCTCCTCTCTCGGACCCAAACGTTCTTCAGAACACTCTTCTGCTTTCGGTCACTTACAGCGGCAGAAGAAGTAAAAGCAGAAGTTACCGAGATGAGGCTTTACGTGTACGTATTAGAAGGTAAGGATTTGTCTGTGAAGGATTCCGTGGAGGGCTTCTATGTCAAGCTTCGGGTTGGCAAGTATAAGTCCCGGACCAGAGTCGTGAATAAAGCCCTGAACCCTGTCTGGTACGAGGAGTTCGTATTCAGCATCCATGACCTGGATGAAGAGATTATCGTCTCCCTCTTCCACCCTAACGATTACCACGGCTTCTTCAATGTCTCCAGCAATTTAATCGGTCGTGTTCGGGTTCCGCTTTGGTCCGTCCTCGCCGAGGAGAAGAACGCCCTGCCTCCAACTTGGTTTTCTCTCGAAAAATCGAAGTCCGCTAAAGCCGTGGAGAAGGACTGTGGTAAGTTTTGTTAGTATTCTCGTTACAACTGATGGAATTTACATGTTATGATGCTCCCTGCAACCCATCCTGTATACAAGCATTACAAATAATATTTTTTCTTGAATGGGCAGTTTTCCATCTAAAATGATTAAACCGTTCCATTGAATCTCTGTTGCGGTCTTTAGCTCAAGTCTCAACGGATTTCTTGGTCCATTTAATGCATGGAAGTTCATGCACAGATGCACATGTATAAGAGGTTTTCTAGTATTAGAGTGGGAAGACGTTACCTCGTCAAATTAAAAATGATGTGAATGAGCATAGCTTCCTGTTTTCATGTTATAGTTATCCTCTCTTCAGAGGAAAACGGCTTTTTGAATTAGTCTATCGCATTGTCCTCCTTGGCTAACGCTGGAATCCTCCATTTTTGCAGTTTGATCACCCTGTGATAAAATATACACGTTTCTATGGAATAAAGTAATAGCGCTTTAAGTTTTGTTACTTCTCATTCTCATTTACTCCCAATGGAAGTTTATTTGTTGTATGCCATTCCTCCACAAATTACATCCTTGTTCATATCTTCATTGTTTCTCTCCCTATGTTGCCCATCTCGCCTGATTAATATTTTTGGACCTCTGCGTGAATGTGGCCCTAGCCTTGGGGCGTGGGTGGTAGGCCTTACCTATTGCTTCTGAATACTGTTACCAGACACAACTTTGATATTCTTCTCTGTTGCAGGTAAAATTCTCCTAACTTTGTGTTTGTGTGGAAGAATCAATGACACATCCAACATTCACACTTTCTTGCGTTCAGGATCCAACACCAAAGACCTAAAAGAACAGGTAGATCCAGCTGAACAATCTCAGGGCATGCTTAGCTCGGTAGCTTCTTTCAGGAAAATCCCAGAATGGAAGCAACTGGTCAAGGTTATTGCTAGCTGGTTAGAAAGGCTTCTCAATAAGAATGAGGAAACTGTGACATGCAAATCAACAACTGATTATTCTTCAGAATTATATAGCACAACTTCTGATTATCAGGACTCCATGGATGAACCTACCCCAGGTTGTAGTTTTGAGGAAGCTATTGATTTGATAAAATCAAGAGATGAAAAACAAGAATTACCAGAGGATTTGCCAGGAGGCATTCTTCTTGACCAAACGTATATGGTTTCATCAAGACACCTGAATTCCATCCTGTTTGAACCCAATTCACAGTTTAAGAAAGATCTTGCTGAACTTCAGGGTATTACGGATTTACAAGAGGGACCTTGGACCTGGAAATTGGGGAAGATATTAACCAGAGTTATCACCTACACAAAGCCTGCAACGAAACTAGTTAAGGCCATCAAAGCCACAGAAGACCAAACTTATCTCTATGCAGATGGACGGGAATTTGTTGTCTTGACGGATGTGAGCACACCAGATGCTCCATATGGACATTATTTCAAAATGGAGTTCCTGTACAGGATAATGCCTGGACCAGAGTCATCAGTGGGGGAAGAATTCTCACGCCTAGTAGTATCATGGAATATTAACTTCTTACAAAGAACAGTAATGCGAAGAATGATTGAAGGACGAGTCCAGCAGGGAATGAAGGAAAGCAATGAACAGTTTGCACGCTTGTTGTCTCAGAAAATTAGGCCAATTGGTTCCACAGCCCTGTTGGACAAGGAACAGATGTTGGCAAAATTGCAGCAAGAGCACCAGTCAAATTGGGAGTTGGCAATTGAATACTTTTGGAATTTCAATGTGGTTTCCACTATTTTCATGGTTTTGTATGTTCTGTTGCATATTTTCCTCTCTGGACACGGAATACAAGGTTTGGAGTTTAATGGGCTGGATTTGCCCGACACTTTTGGAGAGTTAATCACCTGTGGAATCTTGGCCCTTCAAGTAGAGCATGTTTTTAATATGATCTCACATTTTGTTCAGGCTAGATTAAAAAGAGGTAATTATGCAGATCTAGAAAATTCCTTTCAAAACTCGTATACAACCATACAGACTTGTAGAGCATATTTTTATTATGATCTCACATTTTGTTCAGGCTAGATTGAAAAGAGATAATCATGCAGATTTAGAAAAGTCCTTTCAAAAATTATACACAACTAGACAGACTTGTTTTTTCCTTGTAATGGTGTACCAAGATTGCTTAACTTTTTATCCCTTTCAATAGGAAGTGACCGTGGAGTCAAATCCCGAGGTGATGGATGGGTGCTTACGGTAGCTTTAGTCGAAGGGAACAACTTAGCATCACTGGATTCAACCGGATTATCAGATCCCTATGTAGTTTTTACCTGCAATGGTAAAAGTAGAACAAGTTCCATTAAACTTCAAACTTCTGATCCTCAGTGGAATGGTAAGGTCTTGAATTTATTAATATGATAAGTTAAATATATATATTGTGATTGTTGAACAAGTTTTCCCATGTTTCTGGAGATATTTTTCAGAAGTACTGGAGTTTGATGCAATGGAGGAGCCACCATCAGTGCTGGATGTGGAAGTTTTTGATTTTGATGGTCCATTTGACCTGGATGCCTCACTTGGGCATGTTGAGATCAACTTTCTAAAGCACACGTCCACAGAACTGGCTGACATGTGGGTCACCCTTGAGGGAAAACTTGCACAGATATCTCAATCCAAGCTTCACGTAAGAATTTTCTTGGAGAATAGCAAAGGAGTTGAAACCGTTAAAGAGTACTTGACAAAGATGGAGAAGGAAGTCGGGAAGAAGGTAAGCAGACTCTGTCTTACAATTTTTTCATACTGTAATTTAGGAAAAGTCCATGATGGTCTTATGCTACATCTTCCTTATAGACCATATATTCCTTACTGCGCGTGTGGTCTGCCAACTTACTCTTATAGTGCATTCAATTGATGGTATGCTACTGGATTGTGCACAGTAAAAAATTGGACTGAGAAAAACTTTGATATGTGATTGGAACCTCAGCAGATGAAAAAATAAAATATGGTTAACAAGGAAATTGTTCCAACATCTTATGATAAGCCATGACCATATGATCTGGATCAGTAAGTGGCCATTGCTGTTCATGGTGTGAAGAGAGTGATTATAAATGAAGCTATTTTTTCTTGATATTTATATAAACAAATCTAATTTTTTCCTTTTCTTTTTCACCTGAACAAAGTCTCATTTTCCAGTTTGGTCTAGGTTTTTACCAGGCTTGAAACCAAATTTTTTTTACTTGAATTTCAGTGAAACACTCAATTTTTTTGCTCAAATTCCAAATATAAAAATTAATTTTGTTTCCATTTCCTATTTTCTCTTTTCTCTTTGATATGTATTCTTTTTTTTTTTTTGTTCTCTCTCTTATTTTGTTTTTTTTTTTTTTTGTGATCAACTTATTTTTTTCTCTACTTTGGACCTAATTTAATGTAATTGTATTTTTTATCTGCCATTCTAGTTACCCTTAAAACAGGAATCAATCCTGAAATTACATATTTCTTTGAAAATTTATATTCAGATGATAAGGTTCGTGTTTTTGTTCTTATCCTAACCTTTTACTTTATCTCTACAATGCAAACTTGGCAGTTAGATCTCCAGACACCTTACAGGAATTCAACTTTCCAGAAGATCTTTGGGCTGCCACCAGAAGAATTCCTGATTGATGATTTCTCATGCTCACTGAAGAGAAAGATGCCCTTGCAGGTTCCAGTTATTCTGACCCTGTGTATATACTTAATAAGTCTTGTTTTTGAAAAGGGTAAAGTCTTGTATTGGCTGTGTATTTTATATCCACATATGACAGTACCTCTGTAAAATTAGTTACTGTACAAAAGAAAAACTTAATCCATGCTCATCTGCTTACAAAGAATTTCAAAATGAAAAAGTTGTTGTATGGTATTCCCCTGAACCTCATGTGAACGGATAGCCATGAAAACATCCTACCAAAATCCTTTTTGATCAGCATATCTTCATATCTTCCATGGATGCACTGCTGTACAAAAAAAAAAAAAAAAAAAACTATCATTTCTCTCAGCACAAATGCCCCATCAGATAGCTATGGAGAATAGGTTCCATACTATCTTCCCCCTTCTGCTTAATCCCTTTAGATAGCCAGAAGGAATAAGTTCCATACATTAATAGGTTAGAACACTAGGAATAGGTCCCATTTCTGTCAATCAGCATACCTCCAAAAGAAATGGTTTTTCTAGAATAATAGGTTAGAACACTAGGAGTTCGTAATTTGTTTTAGTGCTTCACCTAGTGTTTCTCAACTTTATGACTCCAAAAGATCAATGGTGTGCCTAAGACTAAAACTGCACTGTCTCCCTTTTTCAGATAAACTTGATGTTTCAGTAACTTATCCAATTTGGCCGTTACCATGTATTCAATGGAAGTGAATACATTGAGTGTATTAATTAATTTTATGTATTTATTTAGATTAATTTGTATCTACTATGTGGACAATGTTCTGATGACGATGATGATGGAGGCAGTGGTGGTGGTTGTACATCAACTGCCTTTTATTCTTTACATTTGTTGATTTATTAAAGGCCATCTTTCATTGAGATGTGTTATTGCACAGGGCCGTCTTTTCCTGTCTGCAAGAATAATTGGGTTTTATGCAAACCTGTTTGGACATAAGACCAAATTCTTTTTTCTGTGGGAGGACATTGAAGACATTCAACTGATCCCCCCTTCTCTGTCATCGGTTGGTAGCCCATCACTCATTATAATTCTGCATAAGGGTCAAGGTCTTGATGCAAAACATGGTGCAAAATCTCAAGATGAAGAAGGCAGGCTCAGATTCCACTTTCAATCATTTGTCTCATTCAATGTGGCCAGCAGGTACCACGCCATGGATTGACCTAGATCTCAGCATACCCTAGGAAAATGAATATTTGAACTTCATGTAATACCATTCTGTGATATGTTAACCATATAGTATTTGGCAGGACAATCATGGCCTTGTGGAGAACAAGAACTTCAATTCCTGAGCAAAAAGATCAAATAGAAGAAACCCATAAGGACCATGATGGAAAACCTTTTCTGATTGGAGATACTGGTTCCTTTTGGGGTCTAGAAGATATGAACATGTCCAAGATTTACTTTGCAGAGCTTCTTGTACATGTACGTGCTCAATTATAACTTAATATACTTTTCTTTCATCAAGAGCAAAAGAATGGACAGTCAACTCTTCATTACTCTTGTGCACCCCACTTAGTTAATGCTCGAAGGTATTGCCAAGCCATTTTCGTACCAACAATGTTAGCCTAAAGTATAAGTTATTGTAATGTCTGATTGAACTACATGAGGGACTTCATCAGTCAATCCTGTTGCCTCAGTTCAATTTCCACCATGATGTTGCATTTGTTCTGAATTTATGCTGTATGGTGTGATTGCAGATAGAATTACTGATGGAAGTGTTTGGTGGAGGAGATTTGGAGCATAGAGTGATGGAGAAATCTGGGTGTCTTAACTATGCAACAACGCCATGGGAAGCCACAAAACCTAACGTGTATGAGCGACATATTTGTTACAAGTTCAACCACCATGTTTCAATTTATGGAGCGGAAGTTATCAGCATACAGCAAAAATCTCCAACTGAAGATGGTAATGGGTGGACAGTGGTGGAGGTTATGACTCTCCATGAAGTCCCATTTGGTGACTACTTCCGTGTAAAAACTCTTACCTATTTCCTTTTACTTAAAAAGGTTAAAAAGAAGACGAAGTGTTGTGATTGCATTTAGTTTCTTTCTTATCACTCTTTACGTGCAGGTCCATTTGAAGTATCAGATCAAGACCACCATTGTTGCTTCCGGTGCATGTCAGTGTGATGTTTACATTGGGATAGAATGGCTCAAAACCACCAAGTTGCAGAAGAGGATCACTCGAAACATAACCGAGAAGTTCACTCATCGATCCAAGGATATCTTTGAACTAGTGGAGGAAGAAATTCATGGTTAAGTTAAACCTGGCAAACGATGCACCACTGAACAACTTGTAGTTCTTTGGTGGTTGAATATCTAAAACTGAACAGGGGAGAGAAAACTGTGTCGGTTCCATTTGATTATTGAGAGCATATATAGAGAATACAAGTTCACCGATGTGGTGGAATCAACATATGCCATGTACTCCGGGGCTCAGGTTTCATTGGCAAAGTTAATATTAGGGTAAATATAAAAACCTCTCCTTAAGTTTCTGACAATCATAAAACCTTTCTTGATGTTGAGGTTTCACTTTCATACAAACCTCCCCTGCAGTTAATCAAAAACCTGCAGTTATCTCCCTCCCATTTTTGTTCTATTAATGAAGACTTCAAAGTTATCGAAATTATCTAACTTATTAGAGAATCTTTCAATGCAGATTTGCCCTTCTAAACTTCACTAGACCTAACATTTTTATAGCACAAAATTACTTTATTCTTTTCAATGAGATCTTTTTTAATTAAAAGTGAAAAATTTTTTTGTTGGTATTTTAGTAAATTTTTATATAAATTGATAGATATAAGGGTAAAATGGATATTTTTGAATGTCCATGACAAAAAAAGAAGTAATTGCAGTTTTTTTTTCAATATTATAAGGGAGGTTTTTGTAAAAATAAAACCATAGGGAATGTTTTATGATTGTCAGAAACCTCAGGGAGGTTTTTTTACTTTACCCATAATATTTAGCCCTTTAAACCATCGGCATAGACATTTTTTTAGAAGTGTCGATTCGTTAAAAGGAAAATAACAACCAGAGGCTGTACAATTGAGGTACAAAGTCAGAGAGAACGGTAAAAAGAACTTACTAAGTAAACAGCTTCCCCACAATTTTCTGCCACACTTCCTCTTTTTTTTTTTTTTTGATAAAGCCAGAACGGGGGGTAGCAAATACATTTAGAGGAATAGGGATGGAGCTGGAGAAACATCGTTTGAGTGTGCATAGTAGCTAGCCAGTCTGCAGCCATGTTTCTGTAGATGTGATGATATTCAATCGTTCCTTTTAATCTCTCTTAAAGCATAGTAATCTTCAATAATTGGGCGTACTCTCTATGGGGGACTGTAGCTTTTCTTCAGACATTTGATAATAAGCTTTGAATCTCTTTCGATGATGATGTACCTGGTTGAAAAGTTGAGACCAAGATTGTGGGTTTCCCACGCCGCTCACGCTTCAGCAACATTAACTGTAGTTTTACCTAGTTTGTAGGCTTTGAGATCCAAAATATGACCCAAGTGGTCCCTAGCAAAACAAGCAACTGAGCAATTCCCATTAATACATGATGTATCAAAATTAATTTTAATAACCTCAAAATCAGGGCTCTTCCATCTAACAAGGATAACATATTTCCTTCCCAAACACCTATCATCTCCTTCCTTCACCCCTTATCTCCAAAAACATATTATAAGCTCTTTCAATGGTGATATAGGGGGGCAAACTCCTATTATTGAAAACACATTCATTGTGATTTTTCCAAATTTGCCAGAGGAGGAAAACAAATTTCTCTTTGTTATAAGCGTCACCCGGATTCATACCACTGATATAGACAAAACCACTAACATAGACATGAGCAAAACACATTCATTGGTGCATAGAGTGTGGGTATTTGATATTTTGAATGTTTATAGATCCTAAGTGGGATTCAAAAATCTGCATTAAGTTTGTCTGTATTTTTTCGATGTTTATATTGCCTTAGGGCCTTGTTTATTTACAAGTTTGTAACTTGGTAACATTTACCTATGTAAATTCACTTACCATGTTCTTTTTATTCTTAGATAATTCTTAGATAAGTAATAGAATGACTCTTTTACCCATAAAAAACAAAAATTAAAATGGGCAAACTTATCCTATTATATTTTATAAACCTTCCTTTTAAGTGGAAAAATTACTTATCCACTTGGCAAATGGTTTAGTTTTACTTGGTAAATGAAGTTAATTTTACTATGGGTCTTGGTACTTGGTGCAAAAAGAACACGGCAAAGTTGGGTGTTGTTTGGCAAATCTTTTTTAAAATATCTTTCAATAGACCTGATAGCGAAAAGACAATATGAGATTTTGCATTAAGATCTTAGTGGCTTGAAGACTGCTTGGTTAATGTGCATCTTCCTACGCAAAGACACGATGAAAAAAGTCGAAAAGCTCCATTTAGAGCTTCTAAAAAAATGTCCAAAACAAAACTTCGTGCGTCTTTTTCAGGTAGCATATTTTGGCGGTTAGATCTTTTTCCAATCAAATGGGAAAAGACCAAAACATGGACTGTCAGGCTTCTAAACAGCTAATAGCCCGTGACAAAACAAACAGGACCTAGGTCGTGAGTGCTGGCTAGAAGACAAAGATTGTCGTCTTAGAGATCTGGTCCAACCATTCAAGTAGTTTTCAGTGAATAGCTAGGAAATGACATAAAAAGGTGATTTATCAAAAACCGCCGCCTTTGATCAGATTTCACTGATTATGGAGAGTGATGACATACCGGATCGGATAGGGAACCGTTATTGGACCAGTTCCCAGGTTGAACGATCCAACTGTCCGGTTCGAATGAACGATCCATTCTAACATAAAAATAGAAAATTAAAAAAAAAAAAAAAACAAACGGCCAAAAAACATTATCTGAGCCATTGGTTCGACCACCCAGGTCAACAATTCATTGACCAAATCAACAGTTTTTTGCCAAAAAGCAATTTTGGGATAAAACAGAATCGGTCAAGTGACCGTTCCAGATTTTTTCTGGTCCGACCGTCCGGTCTGTTCCGGTTTTGAAAAAATGCAAAAAGGTAAAGGGAGTGCTAAACCATTACTTGAAGACTTTCGGATTGCGTTTCCTTTTTGCTTCTTTTTCAAATGAATGGCCGGAAGATGCAGGAGGATGGTCCATCTCGCAGAACTGGTCAAAGGGAAAGGGTCCCAAATTTTCACTGCAATGGCCAATTAGTTTCTTTGAAAAAACCAAAGGGTTTACAGGTTGACGTTGACTTTTAGAATCAAGTCAACCAACCTCCTTTATGTTACATAGTAGCTGTTCTTTTTGGACAGGGTTACTTGTTTGCTATTATTACCACTGCGGAGAAAAATGATTGAACCTTTTCTTTCTCTCTTACTGGGTAAGTTGAGATCTCTCATCGAACAAGAGGTGGGATTTGCCTTATCAGTGAAGAAGGAGCTCATGAAACTTGAAGATGAATTGAACATAATTGGAGATGGATTGCAGGATGCTGATCTAATGCACTTCTCGTCAGAACAGGTCAGGACCTGGTTGGGGCAGCTCAAAGATGCAGCTTACGATGCTGAAGACATACTTGATGAATACGGAGCCAGGATTTTGCAGATAACAAATTCTGAACACCAGGTATGCAATACCCCTTGCTCCCCATTTTCTTCCTGCAAAAAAATTGGGGTTTTGAGAAGGATTGGTTGTAGGATCAGGGAGGTAAGTTCAAGGTTAAATGAAATATCCTCCAATAAGGACAAGTATGGTCTTGACAGAATTGTTCTAGGGAGCAACTCTTACGTAGCTGAGTTAAACACAAACCGTCAGACTAGTTCGGTCCTTGTGGAATCTGAGATAATTGGGAGAGATGAGGATGCAGACATTGTGACGAATTGGTTATTGGATGAGCTGGATGCCAGAGAGGAAAATGTTTCTATCATCTCAATAGTGGGAATCGGAGGGCTTGGAAAGACAACGCTTGCAAAGAAGGTCTACAACAGCATGCGTATTGGAGAACATTTTGAGAAGTCCATGTGGGTTTATGTTTCAGAGAAGCCAAGACCGACAGAACTGGCAAAAAAGATACTGGATGAAGTTAATAGAAGTGGGTTTAGTATTGGTTGGAGCAACATCACAGAATTGAATACCCTTTATACTAAGATAATTGATAGCCTCAGAAATAAGAGATTCTTGCTTGTGCTGGATGATGTCTGGAATGTGTATTGGTGGCAGGAACTGAAGTCTCCTCTCCAAAGTGGTGCACCAGGAAGCAAAATATTAGTCACAAGTCGTACGAAACATCCTTCAGTCGAGATGGGTGCAGTATACATTCATGAGCTGAGGGGTTTGCCAGATGACCAGAGTTGGTCCTTGTTCCTCAGGAAGGCTCTGAAGGAGGAGGAGACAGAACAAGACCTTGAAGCATTAATGCTTAAGGAAACAGGCAAAGAAATAGTGAAGAAACTCGATGGTTTGCCTCTTGCAGTGAAGACAATTGGCAGTGTTATGCGCTCTAAAAGGAGAACATGGATAGATTGGCAAGCTGTTCTGAATAGCAGGATTTGGGATTGCCAAAGCTCAGTTAACCAAAGCATCCTTCTTCCTGCTCTGCTTTTGAGTTATAATAATCTTCCCATGTATCTTAAAAGGTGCTTTGTATTTTGCTCAGTATTCCCTAAAAATTTCTGGATACATAAGATATATTTGATCAGGTTGTGGATGGCAGAGGGTTTCGTTCTAGACGATGAAGGTAGAGAAATGGAAGTCAGAGCAGAAGATTACATTGAAGATCTTATTGGCTGCTGTCTGTTTCAAGATGAGAAGAGAGATGAGAATGGGAACATAATTAAATTCAAAATGCATGCTGTTATCCATGATCTTGCACTTTACTTGTCTGGTAAAGAGTATGTGGAGACAAATTCTCATGCCCGTCATTTATCATTAATTGGTAAGGATCAGTCCTTTGATGAAAGCCTTGGGAAGCAGAAATATCTTCACCTTCGAACACTATTGTTACCTGATACATATAAAATAGCATATATGCATTCCAAATTCTTAATCAACTTTAAGCTGCTTAGGGTTTTAGATTTGAGTGACAATGATAAACTCTCCAAATTGCCAGACTCGATAGGAGATCTGATACTTTTGAGGTACCTCAATCTTTCAAACACAAAATTAGAGTATTTGCCTCAGTCAGTCAGCCAGCTTTGCAATCTGCAAACATTGCAACTTGGACGATACATTAGGGAACTGCCCAAAGGCATTTCAGCACTATGTAGTTTGAGGAATTTAGAATTTGACTCTTCATTGAGCATGCCTCGAGGAACAATGAAATTAACCTGCTTGAGAACCCTGACAAAATTTGTGGTGGGTAGGGGTGAAAGAGAATGTGGCATACTGGAACTTAAGAACTTGAACAAGCTAAAAGGATGTCTTGTTATAGAACATTTAGAAAGGGTTAAGGGCCAAGAAGAAGCCAGACAAGCTGAATTGAGTAATAAGGAAAATCTTCAATCCTTGGAGCTGTGGTGGGAAGAGAAAGATGAAAATAAGGTGACAACTGAAGAGTTGGAAAGAATGGAGGAGGTATTGGAAGCACTACAACCTCCAATGAATCTTGTAAGGATAAACATATGTGATTTCTTGGGAAAGAGGTTTCCTACATGGATCCAGACATCAACGATATTGAAGTGTCTAAGAGAGGTTCTTCTATACAATTGCAAACTTGTGGAGCATTTACCCCCACTAGGGAAGTTACCCTTTTTAAAACGTCTCTATATATTCCAAGTCTACAAAGTCAGGAAACTTAATAGTGATTTCCATGCTGGAGATGATATTGACAGAAGGGTTGGGTTTGAAAAGTTGGAGGAGTTGAGCTTGCTCCAAATGAGTGAGTGGGAAGACTGGTCATCTAAGGAGGACATCATAATGCCTTGTCTCAAGAACCTGTATCTCACTGATTGCCCAAAACTGAAGGCTTTACCTGAATTTTTCCAATCATTAGAGACATTAACAATCTATAGATGTTTTGATCTATATGCTCTATCAAACATGCCTGTGCTTATGAAACTAGAAATCAGAGGGTGCCAAAGGCTGCAGGCACTGCCATGCCTGCCATCACTTGTGTCCCTATATATGGATAACTTATCCAATTGGGAAGGATGCTTGGAGACCGCTGAAGGAATCATGCCACGTCTACAGAGCTTTTATCTAAGGAATTGCCCAAAGTTGACCGAACTGCCTTATTTGCCTAGCTTGACTGTTTTATACATAAAACAATGTGAAGGCTTGCATGGTTTATGGCAATCTGGCAGGCATCCAACGAGACTTGAGTCTCTAGAAATTGTGGACTGTCCTATAATTCAAACTTTCAGATGCCCATCTTTTCCTTCAATGAACCTACTGCTAAGGGGGCCACCAGAACACCCACAGATTGTTAAATCTATTGCAGGGAATTCTCTTTCAGATGAACTTGCTCATCTCACTCATTTGAAAATTGAGAATCTGCCAGAGTTGTGTTCACTACCAGAAACATTGTTGAATTTGACTTCCTTAGAGATAGATGGATTTTCAAAATTCAGTTCACTTATGACAAGGCAGCAACTGGGAACAAAACTTAAACGTGTGAGCATCAAGAACTGTTCTAAATTAACATCTCTACCCGAACAGCTTCAATATCTCACTGAATTTCAATCTCTTAGCATTGGAAACCTTCATGATATTTGTTCTTTACCAGAATGGTTGCAAAACTTGAGGGGGCTAAAATCCCTAGTCATCAAGGACTGTCCAAACATTAGCAGCTTACCAAGTGGGATGCAGAAGCTCACTGCACTTCAGGTTTTGGAAATTGATGGTCTTCCTGAACTTGATACACTGCCAGAGTGGCTGGCAGATATGAGTAAACTTGTGGATCTGAAAATAAAAAATTGTCTCACTGAGTTCCCTACCAACAAGAATTGAGCAACTAAAGAACCTTAAGGTCATTTTGATCATAGGGTGTCCACTTGTGGAAAAGTGATGTGGGAGATGCAGTGAAGAGTGGCACACAGTAGCTGGCGTCCAATCTCACCAAACTTCTGATAACAGAAATTGGTAGTCTTCCTGGAATTGATTCATTACCAGAGTGACCTCCAGATTTGAGTAAACCTGTCAAGCTGGATTTTCCCAAACATGGCATCTATATAATTTAATTTCTGGATCATCAGGGGTATCCTCTACTGGAAGGGTAATTTAAGAGAAGAGGTGAAACTGGCACGACATCTGAGTGTCAAACTCTAAACAGTAGAGTAGTCTGAAGTATGAAGACTGTTTTCAACTTCCCATCACATATCAGCATGACTATTTAGAAGTTGTACATAATGTACTCGTTAAGACAGCTAATATGCAATTTCTGTTACATGGTTAGAGGAGGTTAGCTGGTTGCCATCAGAAAGAAGTGGCAACTGATAATCACTTAGGTTTTGTTTGTTTGCTGTGAAAAAATATGGATGTGCAAATAAGTTGGTGCAAATTCTGGTCTACTTTTGTTTCAGGTTTTACTTTGTTTTGTTTGTTTGCAATGCTATATAAACCTGAAGCAAAAGTAAACCTGAATGAGCATTATTTTTTAGAAAAAGTAAAGTATAATTGTATTAAAGCAAAAGGTCCTTTGTACAATTAGAAGCTGTACAAAAAGCTATCAAGTAGGACCTCAAAAAAAGGTCATCCTCAAAAAGGTACAATCAGAAATATCATCTTTAAAAACAGTTCGAGTATTATTCTCATTTGCACTCCTTTGAATTTGTACTAATGCATATAAAATTGTACTGTGAACAAACAGAGCCCTTTGTGTTTCACCTGAGTCTGCATGCCTCTTAAGCCACTAAAAAAATAACTTTTAGCTACTGTAAGCTAGCTGTGCAAAAAGAAATCCATGGCTAAAAGACAGTTTATAACTATGGACATTATGTCTAGCTAAAAATAATTACCTTAATTGTCTTTTAGCAACTATTTGCAACCGACAACGAAATTTTGGGATGGGTTTTCATTGTTTTCTTCTCAGGATGGATTTTCCTTCTTTTATGATAATTAAAAGGTTTTGACTTTCATATAGACATCTTTGTGGGCACATAAGCCATTTAACTTTTGTTTCTGATGTGATGTGAGTTTTTATCCATCTCTTCTTTTTTACTTTTTTTTAATGAGCCTTTCTTCACCATAACAAGATTGATATGGCCAATGTATATGAGGTTCGGGTTACAGGAAGAAAAAACAGAATTTTGGGATGGATTTTGCCCCTAACTCTGCAGGTTCAGGATTTGTAGTTCCATTAGGAAAGGGTGCTACATGAAACCTGGAAAACTGTTGATTTTGTAGATAATTTCTACCATTTTAGGGATGTTAATATCTAGCAGCAAATAAAGGGCCAAGAGCATGTTTGCATTTCTTTCTCTTTGAGTACCCTAGATTCTGGAATCAATGCAGTTGGAATAATTCTATTCCTTCATAGTTTTTGTTTTTTTTTTCATTTTTTGTGATCTATTGCTGATTTAATGGTGACTTAGATCTCACTGAATTTGGTGTTCTTGATTATTTTTATTTTTATTTTTTTTTCTTGTTCTATCGCACTTTGCTTCTAGGGTTTTAATTTTCTGATCATCTTGCTTGTCTCTTTATTACTGTGTATTTGGGAGGAGAAATTAATGAAATTTTGCTATTGCAAATTTTTATTATTTTAATACATGTTTCTAAGAAGATTGAGAAGATAAGACTCCTGGTCAACAAGCAGTTCACCTATTAGAAGCTTTGATACTAAGTTAGCAGGAGGAATCAAAGCTAACAACTCTGGCAAGGGCAGAATTATGTGGAGAGCAACAAGGGCAGCAGAATTATGAGAGAATACTTGAGGAAAAAGGAATATTTATGGAGGATATTGTAGACAGCATCAAAATAAAAGTATCCCACTGGATAAAAACTATGGAGGCCTTTAAGGAATATACTCTGGATGATATACTGAAGGCGTGGGAAGAAGTGGCAAATTCCTATAGAACTCAAGACAAAGTTTTACTGGAGTGGAAGCCTTTAGAAAATAATAGGGTGTGTTAAGATGTGCCGAATAGGGGTAGTTTAGTCTTCTTCTGTTTATTAAGTAACTTGCTTATGTGGCTGTGTTATTAGAGTTACTCTGCCCCACACTTAAGTAAGGGCATTTCTGTCTTTGTAAACAT